TTTTAATTCTGGATAGGGCATCTGCTACGATATTTTCCTTTCCGGGGGTATGCTTGATTACCAGATTATATTCTTGTAGCTTGAGTGCCCATCTTATTAACCTTGGGGATAAGTTTTTCCCTGAGTACAATCTAGTTACCGCCGCATGATCAGAGTACACTGTTATTGGCGCCTTTCCAAAATAGACTCGGAACTTTTGCACTGCTAACAGAACTGCAAGTGCCTCTCTCTCGGTCGCGGAATAGTTTCTTTGTGTTTGATTTAAAGTTCGGCTAAAAAATGCCACGGGCTGCTGATTTTGCGAAAGTACCGCTCCTACCGCATAATCCGAAGCATCCGCTGAATTTTCTAAATTCTCATCCTTTTCAGGAAATTTCAACACAGGGGCTTGCGTTAATGCTTGTTTTAATTTTTCGAAAGCACTATTGGCTTCGGCCGCCCACGAGAATCTTGCCTTTTCCTTTTTAATTTTAACAATGGTTCAGCAATAGCTGCAAAATCTTTTATAAAGGACCTATAATATGAACAAAGTCCTAGAAAAGAAGAGAGCTTCTTTCGCCGTGTTTGGAGTCGGATACTTTTGTACAGCGATTATTTTTGATTCGTCTGTCTCTATTCCTTTCTGAGATATTTTGTAACCTAAATATTTTAATTCAGGGGCTGCAAATTTGCACTTTTCGACATTAACTTTTAGACCGGCCTCATTTAATAAAGAAAACACCTGTCTTAAATCCTGTACATGTTGGTCGAGATTATCACTAGTAATAATGATATCGTCTAAATAGATAAATGTGGACTTTCCAAGAACAGGTCTTAACACAATGTCCATACATCGCTGAAATGTTGCCGGTGCCCCTGAAAGGCCAAACGGCATACGCAAAAATGCATAAGTGCCAGACTTGGTTATAAAAGCAGTCTTAGGCACGTCCTCAGGCCTAACCCCTATTTGAAAATAACCAGTCGTTAAGTCTAAAGTCGTCATATATTTGGTGGATGTTATGTTCCTTAGAATTTCTTCAATAATAGGTAACGGATATACCGGATATTTAGTTATGGAGTTTAATTTACGGTAGTCAATTGCGAATCTCCACCTTTTTGGATGTGTCAATGGATAGTCATTATTTTTTTTTTCTTACATAAACACCACCGGGCTAGCATAACTACTTGAGATGGGCGTTATGATCTTTTTACGTAGCATATCGGTGATATGCCATTCTATAATTTTTTTCCTTATTCTTATCATACCGGTATGCTTTGTGGCGAACTGGCATTGAATCTCCGGTGTCAATACTATGGTTAGTAACTGAGTAAATCCTGGAATATCACTAAATAACGAAGCAAATTCACTTACCACTTGTCGGATTCTTCCTTGCTCGTCATTAGGCAGGTGGTGGTCAAAATTTAACATCGGCGGTTCAGCCTTTCCTTCACGAACCGGTTTCATCGTCAGCTTAAGGGACGCTTCATTAAAATCCAGCGTTGCTTGTGCCTCTGAAAGAAAATCTATTCCTAAAATAATATGTGCTTGCAGATTCTTTACTATGAAAAACATCACCTTTACTTGTTCGTCCTTGATACGGACATACAGCGGTAATTTACCTATACACTTACATCTTTCTCCTTGCGCCGCTAACACTGTCGTATTATCCGAATTATATATGCGGTATTTACGAAAATACTTCCTAAAAAAATCTTCTGCCACACAGGAACACTGCGCGCCTGTATCCAGGAGTGCGGTGGCTGGGATATTATTCACCAACACTTCAATCTTCGGAAGAGTCAAATTTTTCACCATTACTGTATTTAACTTGAAGGAAGAGGGGGGGTTTTCGTGGCCTTCGGATTTCCGCACCCTCCCGTCAGCAGAAATCCGTTTTAGTTTAAATTATTTTTCATTTCCGTGCTTTCCTTCTTTTTCCACTGGCCTTGAGACTTTTTTCCTGGATTGCTATTGAACTGTCGACGTTCGCCGGCTGTTTTTGAATGCTCGGGTTTCCTTGCCCACTGATTCGCTTTGCTTCCGTAGCCGTGTGCTTGAGTTTGCTGTAGTCTTGGCGCACCAAATTGGTTTCGCTGTTGATATTGGCGTCTTCTTTCAATGTCCGCCGTTCTTCTACTTTCAAACTGGATTGCTAGCTCAAATAACTTTTCCAGTGTAGTCGGATTTCTTAATTCAATAAAGTCTTGCACTTGGGGCAGTAACCTCGGCAAAATCACTTGAATTATCTCAGGATCCGGACGGTTTCCATACAAGAGTTTGAAGACGTGAATTTTTCTTAAAATAAAGCTTGAGAGTTTTCGATTCTTTGTTGATATATACTGAAAAGTTCCGTTTCTAATTTCGCACGATCCCTTACAACAGGGAAGGCTTTTACTAGGGCAGTCTTGAAATTCTCGTAAGTATAGGTGGGACTTCCTGCTTGACCCAAGAGACTTCTGCCTATACATTTGAACCAATTAAGCGCTTGGCCCCTCAAAGCGCTGGTAGCTAAGGTAACTTTTTGAAATTCGTGCACGGGGGGTAGAGCATGAAGTGGTCATCCAATTTTTCCAAAAAACTGGTTACCGGTGAGTTTCCATTAAATGTTGCTTCTGGTTTCATCGAAGCGCGCATGGTCTGGACGATGTAACCAAATCCTTCCAGGGCGGCAGCTGGCATTTCTGGATTCTGAGCCGCTTCTGCAGGCAGCACAGGTTCTTCTTGAAACTCGGCCATGGGTATTCTTCTTCGTTGGGCGCCACTATCAGGTTCAATGTTCCGTCTTACTTTCTTCGGGAACATGCAAGGACCTGACTCGGAACAGAGAGCTTACTAAAGCTATGTTCAATAAAATGTAAGTGGGAAGTAGACAGGATACACAAGAAGGGTATACAAAACCCTTTATTTTTCTCTATTTACAATAACTTCCGTACTTCGGAATACACAGACCCACTACTTGTGGTCTAAACGTAAAATATAAAAATAAAAACTAAACTCTAATTAACTTTAAAATAATAAACGTGGAAGATTGGCCTTATATTAACAGGAAGCCGTATGTAGTACAGAGAACTGTGAACACTACAATACGTTTAAAAATTATCAAGAGGATTAAAACCTCTGGCCTGGAAGGCAACCAGCAACTGAGTAAAACTTCTAAGGTAAGCGGCCTGCTTCGACTCAACTGCTTCCTCTCTCTCGCTTGGCAAAAAAGCCACAACTTAAATACTTGGCGTTCGCCAGACAAACTTTGCATAAATACATTAACGCTTATAATTCTGGCCGGAAATAGAAAATAAGAAGTGATAGTAAAGATTTAAAATAAAATAAACGTTAGTAAAACTTAAGATCCTTACAAAATTTATAACTGTTTCGACAGAGAAGGAACTGCTTGAGTTGATTAGTTACCATATTCGTCCGAAATCACTTCTACTGACTATCTTTGGGGTACTGAATATACCAAAGATTGTCTCTGGAATGTCTCTGGATGTGTTGTATCTTCTTGCGAACACCCCCGACTCTTCCGAAAAGGCTAGAGACTCCTCTAGTTGTGTGATTTGTATTATTTTTACTAATATATATTTTAATTTGTTAGCCTTTTTTGTTATTTCTTTTTTCTCTCGCGTTTTCTTGACAGGATGTAAATGACTTGGCGTAACGAGAGTCTGTTTAAACTGAAGTAGCGAAAAGGTTAGTCAGGAGCGTGTTTCGCTATTGAGTGAGCACGTTTTTATTTCTACCAGCAAATTGAATTTTGAATCTCGGCTTCGCATTCTTGCCGTCAAAATTCACATTACGACGGTGTAGGTTTCTGAGACAATTCGCTATGTTAATTTGTATCGCTAATTTGTATTGTCTTGAACTACTTATCTTTAAAATTTAGTTTAGTTTACCATTATCTTTAGTTTTATAGTACCATATGCCATATCGTTATCTACCTATACGTTATATACCTGTAGGAGATGTAGCATTATCTTTAGTAAAGTGAGTACTGGATCTGTAAGCATAAACACTATGCCGTCTGTAAATAAAACAGTTCAATAAAATGGTGTTTTACACCGTCCTCCTGTTGTATTCATTTTGTAGTCTTAGCAATAAGTCGCTAGGAGTCTTTCAGGTAAGTCGGTAGAAGTGTACGCTAGCCAAGAATACTTGACGTAACATAGTATAAGGAAAACATTTATTATCTTCGGCACGTTTAATCATGTAAATGGAGAGATGGAGCATCACTAAAGGACTTTTAAAAAAGAGAGGTAGCATAAGTTTCAGTTGTTTGCACAGCTTGCATGTTTTTTTTTTTTTTTTGTTTTTTTTTTTTTTTTTTTTTTTTTTTTTTGTAATGAGAAATTGTGATATAGATTTACAAATGATTGCAAATAAACCTAAACATTTTTTCATTTATTATAACATTTTATTCGTGACTATGCCATTGCATTGCTTACTTCAGTTCATAATTTTGTGGTAATCGTCAAAGCAAAGAATTTCCAGCTATGTCAAAATCTTTTACCTCATACATAACAGCAAGAGTAGTAAATTTTTGGAATGCACTAAGAATGAAGAGCAAGGGATACAATTTTAAAATTACTGTTCGGAACACAGAAGAGCGTACTGTCCGATTATAAAGATGTGCAGTGTTTGATATCTTAGATATTTTTAGTATATTAGCTATAAAATTAATTTCCATTTAAAACATGAGTTTGAAATGTTTCCATTCAGTGAAAAGTTCAGTTTGATGATCACAGATTAATGTTAAAAAATATCGGATACTTCAACATTTCCTGGGTCAGTACCATCGATGTTTTAATAGAATTGTAAGCTCTGTTGGTGTTATAATAATTATACAGCTGTATCTTATTAAATTCTAGGCATGAAAATTCGTGGTTTCAGGTTTTTCTTTATTACATAATGTTACGCCGTATTGCATAACAAATGTGACTTGGATATTAAACCTGTGTTTATTTACAAATAACAGATTACATAATAGAATTGCATTCATGTTTTTAGAATATATGAAAACAATTACCTCCTCTGACGTGCGTTTCTCTGCTTATTATAGCTCCAACGCTATTTTCCGCCAAACACTGGTAAAGAGTATCATGCACATCTTGTCTATAGTCTTCTCTGGAGAAAGGCGGAAAGACAAGGGTTCCATCATTTCTTGTATAACGAATGCCTGGTATATCTCTGGCAGTCGTACCCTCTCTGGTTTGCCAACTAATTCTTGGGGCAGGTATTCCATCTGCAGTACACCTAAGCTCTGCGCCACTACTGTTCGAAAATTCTATTCTGAAGGGTGGTTCAGAACGAAATCTTGGACCAGAGTCATCTTCTCCATGAGCTCCATTTGAAATTACTAAAACAAAAAAGAATAGATCATTCAGAATCTGATTTATAAAGAAATTAAACACAGTTCCTGTGACAAAAGACAACTTAAGATAATTCTAAGAAGTCCTACTTATATCATAAGAAATGCAAGATTTTATACAATAATATAGATTAATTATTTATATTGAATCCTAATATGTCATAAATTAACAAAGTCTACTTTATCAACGAAAATTTTATTCTGAACCAACAACTCATTTTTATGACAATTATTTCAACAACATAATTATAAACTAACATTTGAATAAAACATACATATAATTTAACTAATGTGTTTTGTATCATAATTAAACTTTGAAGTAAACCACGTATGGAAAAATTAATATTGTAAGCACTGCCCTCCATGAAGATATTTTGTAAAGCAGACAGCCCCTATTTGCCATACTATTGCTAATTTTAGCAATAACCATTATTACTGAATTGAAACTCGTATTTTATGTGATGTTAAGGATTAATGTAAACCTTGAGCCTAAAAAAATATCTGATAATGCATAAATGCATTCCTTTTAACTGGGTTGCTAGAAACTGCATAAAAAGGTTTTGGATGAGTTTTAATTGTAAATCCTTATTGAAGCATCGAGTAATTTAAGGATGTTTTACATTTCTCATAAATTATTCATGTGTTTCTTCTTTATATCTAGAAGCATATGACAAAAGAACATTAATGCAAAATACTACGCTTTTCAACTCAAGCACAGTCATTAAGCTGACTTGCTAAGCAACTGACTTAATTTTACTCTAAAATTTCAAAATCATTTAAGCTCTATTTCTTCAAAAAAAAGAAAATGTCAGTTAGTGTACGTGATTTCTCACAACTGCACGAAAATGCAAAACTTAACCACCTGATAACGTTTTACTCGAAGAAACATTTGCCTATCTAATTTAAACTTACTCTTTCCTCAAACCGCTAAAACAAATTTGACAGGAATGCATGTAGGAATAACGTAATTACGAGATGTTGTCTGAATGTTCCGTAAAAATCAGAATCTCCGGCTAAGTGCAGCGATCCTTCATTCGCTTTTACCTTTGTCTTACTGCTCTTCAATTACTGAGAACGCCACCGAGAAACCTGTTTCCTTATTCATATAAAACTCTTCACTTTTCCGCTGCACGACTTTTAACGCAGTTTCCGGATTCTTTAATACGCTCTCCGTTGCGTAGCAGAGATAACGATGTTCCAGAAGCCAGAATACTAATTCTTAATTGCTGAAGACACTAACGAGCAAATTATTTACCGTCTGGAATTTCGCGGAGGAGAGTGCACTCTTTTAAGTTTCATCATTTTTAAGTGAGGTTGCTTGAGCTGGGAGGCGAGAGAATAGAAGCGGGGTAATATATGTATGCAAGCAGGAGACATTCAGGAGATGATTATTGTTTGTTTAATGCAATTTTCCTTCTTTTTCATTTGTCTCCTCGCCTCCGTCTGTTTTATTTCTTTACGCTGAAACTGCGTAATATATTTAATCATATTTTTCGAGTTACTGGACTAATTATCTCTTGGAATAATTGGCAAATTAGTATAATTGTTACATAAATATCAGTAACGTAAAACACTTCCTCGGGCATTCCGTCACAGCACCTTCTCAAAAAATGTACGCAAACATATGAGCTTTTATTTTGTTTCTACCATATTCTTACATCTTCAGTAAATAAAGTCATAGTTGAAGAGTCATAGATAAAAAGTATTTCATAGATAAAAAGTCCTAGATAACATAAGTACTTTGTCATAGGTAAAAACTATGAATAAAGGTATATTGAAGACAGATTACTTTTAGTCTATCAAGCTTAAAAGAAATCCTCAGTTAAACCGTGCAAAAGGATAAGATTAAGTTTCAAAATTTTTCGTATTAAATAATCGATCTTTCGAATGTCCTTTTCCAAGTCATTCACTTGGGTTTTCATACACAAGTGAAGTCGTTTGTGTTATATTGGTTTAGGCACTACGGAAAATAAATTCTGATCTTATGTTATCATATTTTTCTGCAAGAGGTGCTACTGGAATTGCTGCAGGATGTTCCGGCTGTCGTTCAGAATCGAATGTGGTTCCAGCTTGATGGTGCACCAGCCCATAACCACCTGCGGGTCCGCAATTACATGGCTGGGACATTTCCGGGCCGATGGATTGCCCGCGGTAGACCCGTTCGATGGCCACCCCGTTCGCCAGATTTATACAGCTTGGATTTTGTTTTTATGGAGCCATCTGAAGAGCATCATTTACGAGACTCCCGTTGACTCACTGGAGGACCTCGTTGCACTAATATCCATTGCGGCTGCAAGCGTGCGCGAAATGCCTGTCGTTTTCCAAAATGTTCGTCAATAACTTCTGCGACGTTACCAAGCATGTATTACTGCTGGTGATCGCAGTTGTTGTGAATACTGCATTGCTACAAAGAAGCACTTTACGTTGATTTTGTACATAAACACATTATCCTCTCGTGTCGTTTTTTTGCGTTCCTGCCTTAACCCGTCGATTTAGACCCTACATTCCCATAAAAATGCATTATTTAGTATGCTCCAATACCCCTCCAAGTTTGTCCCAGGATCTATGAAACACCCTGTATATATAAATACATACATAACCATAATTTTCTTTATTTCAAAATATAATTATTCCAACTATTTCCGCGCAATATACTGCTGAAAGTTGATCAGTGTAAACCAAAGGTTAGAAATTTAGAGCTAATTTTACTCAAAGACCCAAAAGGACTTAAATTCAGTGCCAATAATTCCCCATATATCTGATAAATATGCAAAATAAAGATAAATGTGAAACTGAAACCTAAAAATTATGAAAACCTGAAAAAATATATCAATACTAGAAAAAATAAAAGAATAGGAATTCAATCAAATCTGATACAACGTTATCGAGAGAAAGAAGCGTCAGATTAAATTGTAATCCCCCTTCAAGTTGAAAACCGCTGCGTATCTGTATCCAAAATTAGCTGATAAACTATTCTAAAGTATTTAATTATAACAGTTATCTGAAATGTTTTAATTCATCAACCATGCCGGTTAAAACTTCCAGTGTCCATTCAAGCAAAAAATCCAATTAGACATTTTCACTGATCTTGAAATTGAAATCAAGTATAAATACAAAAATTATTAAAATTGAAATAGAAAATAATAAAAAGGGCTGTAGCACTATGTTATGTACACTTCGAAAAATAAAATAAATTAAAGTAATATAAAATAGATAAATAAAAATCTGAAAGCTTTCAGATTTTAAATTACGCCCAAAAGAGAGTTCTTTTAACAATTAGTGTGTTATCTTTTTTTATTAAATGTCATGTTCTTCGCACTTAAACCATAAAATTCGGTTCAACAGCAGTATCGCAAAATAATTTTAAAATGAGCATATCTTTAGAATTTGCGATAGACAGTCTCGCGCGCTGGAGATATTTTTTTTCCCCGTACAGTCTTGCTATTGCTCGTCTTGAAATCGTTTGTTAATCAAAAATGCTTTAAAGGTTTACAAAATATGAAACAAATAATAAAACAAATTTCAAATTCCAAATGTGTACTTCCAGATGCCCGTATTCGGGGGGAAATACTACGTTATTCAAAATTTCGTGGCTCTATATACCGTTATTTTATGACAATGCGAGAAACATACATACATTGAAGGAGATTCTTCATTATTTAATTTCTTTGCATATAATAAAGGGCTTTAATATGTATTGGCAACAATTTGAAACGTGTACCGACATTTATATTGAATCAACACACAAAATGCCAAAACGAAAATAATAGTCCTTCTGGGCAAATTGCCCTTTTGGACTAATAAAATAAATTTAAATCTTACTTAGAGGACAAAGAAGTGGTCAAAAATGGACGGATAGTGGAAATATTAAACACATCCAAATGGGAAAAAAAAAAGAAACCATAGTTTTGAATGAAGTAAATAATTAAGTGCATTTTTTCATAAAATTTAAAATTAAAATTTTATAAAGGTTAAATTAAAATCCAGAATATAAAATCTACTAAAAATTAAACTAGAACAATGTAATCAAAATACAAATTTCGAAACAAAGATTAAACACTTTAGATTCAAAACTGACGCGAGGGTTTGCCAGTTTGGCTTTATTGGCGAAACAAACTGGTGAAGACGAGTTAGAAATATTTTAAAAGATGAATTTAATGCTTGCATGAAATATATAAATTTTCTTAAATGCTCTTTCTCTTCATTCATTCTCTTCTCTTCGTTTTTAAACTCGAAGCATCTAGTTACTTTCCGTTCTTCGGTAATGGTCATACTTCCATAGTCACGTATTTTAAATCTTCATCAATTTTTGTCCACTTCCGAAGATCAGATATTTTTGTTCTTCTACGAAAAGGTTGATTTCATTTCATTCTCTCGTCTTCCGAGCATTCAAAGTTTGCATTTACGATGCAGCTATTGCTAAGGTTCTAAACTATTTAAGAGTGATTTTAGTTGACTGAAATTTCTCATCTAATATTATTGACAAAGGAGTTAAATAATTTGCATCTTAATACAAGTAAAAGCTTCTTATTTTTCGACTCATTAAAATAATTCAGTAATTATTTCACTATTATTTATTTAATATTATTTATTTAATCAATTATTAAAAAAACTGCATTTACTGTGTTTTTAATGTTTCGTGTATTTTATTTTTCTGTATGTAAAATTCGCATTTCACTATATGAAGACCAAATCACAAACATGAACTGTCTGCCAGTGGATGAGCGGACAAAACACCAGCTCAGACAAGAAATACTAGAGCTTTTATAACATTTCCGCCAATGCAGATAAAAGCGTAATTCAAATAGGGGCGGCTTTGAAATTTCGTGCCAAGAAGCATGCGACGTATGTTCGAAAAAAATTATAAAAAAAATTACTAATTAATATCCCTTGTTAAAAAGTCGTGCTTTTTATTCTCATCTGCCAGATTCTACATCCAGAATTATTCCGAAAACGCAATCCGTTGGTGAATTAAATTTTCTGGATGC